AGCAGACGGGGGAGTTGGGTTTTCTAAGTCCAACCAACAGGATGGTGGCACCTCCAGGTGCTGCATGGGGCTGTGGAGGAACCAGCACAAACACCTGAGCTGCTTCAACCATTTTAAAAGGACATGAGCTCTTTGAGGGGCTGTAGGGGGAGGAAGGGAGGGTCCCAGATGATCTCCAGTGGCTGCCCATGTCTCTTTCTTCTTGCCAACGTGCTCAGCCTCTCCTCCAGGTTTAGTGTCAGCCCCCCCAGCCCTCCTCCTGCCAGTCCCACCCTCCAGTGTGGCAGCAGCAGAAGCTCGGTGATGGCCATAACCATCTGTTTTCACTGGTCATGTGCAGAGATCAAAGCAGCCCAGGCCCCACCTCGAGAGTCCTTGGCCCTCTGTACTTTATGGTAACTCAGTATAATTTTTTTAATCCTCTGTGAAATAGCGTGACTTGAAAATTGTTCTGCTATTGAATAGACAATTGATTCCTTTCAGGCAGGTACAGTGTTTACAGGAAAGAGAGGAATATTCGAAAGTGCCTAAAACTGCGACTCGGCAATGTTATGGGTACATGTAGACTCATGACGGATGCTATAAAAGATCTGGATCTGGGTATTTTCAGAAGGGCAGCTTATGATCCAGTGTAATGCTGTATTAATAGCGAGAATGTAGAGCTGTGACAGAAAGATTGACAGCTTTTGGCAGCAAATTTTATACTTGGGTATCTAAATGTATCCCTTGAAGTTCCAGTTTAGTCAATTAGGCAAACCTGAGCTGATGTGCTGAAAACTGGCATCCCTGGTTAACCATCAGCCTCCCGTTTTTCTTCTTTGTTTTTCTTCTTTGGTTCTGAGCTAAAATGGTTGTGGCTTTGGGACAAACTGTGTACTCAAGTGTCCATCAAAACTGGATCAGAACTGAGAGCAGCAGTTTTGTAATTTTAGTGTATTTGCTGCTGTTGGAGTTGTAATCACAATTAAGAAACCCAGTTTAATTACTTGAATAACTGGAGGTGATGTGAATAGTCTACTTAATTTAGTGTGGTACCCAGAGCATGAGGGATTTGGGGACCACTTACTGGGTGCAGTTGATAACTTCTTGCTTGAGAGTCATTTATCTTGGGAATTTGACTGCTTTACCCATGCCTGTTCTCATCTTTGCAGCTTTTAGGTATGGCATCGACCTTTCCCTTGAAAAGCCAGTTCAGATACTATGGTGGGACCAAAGCTTCATCCCTTTTGATGTCCCCTGCTGTCCCTCTGCATCACAGTGCTTGTGGATGCTTCCTCAGAAAGTCCATGCCCTGAGTGCTTTGCAGAGCACTCATGGGCCATTTACAATATTATCTAATTATTATTGCTTAGTTTAGCAAATACTTTAAAAAAACTGTGTGGTTGCCTACAACAAATGGTGGTGTCCCTTGTCATGCAGTGATTCATCTGAACAGAATTAGCTTGGGGCAGGGAGTGGGAGCGGGCATAGATGGAGGCTGGGAGCGGCGCAAGGACCAGACAGTGGGGCTGGCCCAGGGGTGTGCACATGTCCTGCCGAGGGACAGCAGCTGAAATTATTTTAATTGAAAAATTAATTGACATTATTTTATCTGCTTTAGCTATAGAAGAGCAACTGGTGTGCTGAACTTTTTATTTCAGTTTGATTAAGTTGATTCTTCACCCAGCTAAAGGAAAGACGTGTGTTTAAAGCGAAATCAAAGTGTGCTAAGCTTCATATATACAAACCAGTTTGGGTTATTTTTTATGTCAGATCTTTGGCAGCAGAGGCATGGCTTTCTTGTAGAGGCCAGTGCCGGGCGTGTGTGCACACTGAAGGCAGGAGTGGTGGGGCAGGGTGTCCCTGCACTCACAAGAAGCTGTAAAACATTTTGGTACAGTCTTGGTCTGCAGCTGCAATGGCTGGTAAAGCAAGAAGAGACTGAAAAAGGCTGTGATAATGCAGGTGGATCAGCCTGAATGTTTGATGAACCATTCATATTGCTGTGGGTTAATCCAAAGTGGGAAAATGAAGTAAATTAAAATAAAAAGGACCCTGTCCTAGGAAACACTCTCGATGTCACTGGGTGTTTGGTGCATGATTCTGTGGTGCTGCATGAGGTTGTGCTGTGGTGGGCCTCCTGAGGACACCGTGCATCTCCTCACCTCCATCACCTCCACTTTGGTGCACCCACCCGTCCCAGTGAGGCCTCCGCTCGGCCATGGGCTGGCCCAGGAGCACCAGTGCTGACACTGGTCTGCCCATGGGTAGCACTTGGTTGCCCAGGGGTGGCACAAGGATGCCCAAGGGCTGTACCGGGTTGCCCACTGAGGGCACTGGGAGTTGTCCAAGGACAGGATCAAGTTGACCAGCATAGGCATTAGGTTACACAAAGTCTGCACTGGGTTGCCCAGGTGTGCCACTGGGCTGCCCACTGAGGGCACTGGGTTCATATGATCATAGACTGTTTAAAGTTGGAAGGGACCCATGAGGATCACTGAGTCCATCTCCGTGCTCCTTGCAGGACTACCTATAATATGTCTTAGAGTGTTGTCCAGCCACTCAACGGTTGCCCAACACCTGGTTGCCCAGGGGCTACACCAAGTGGCCCAGTGAGGGCAGTGAGTTGTCCAGGGCAGGAACTAGGCAGCCGTGTGAGGGTATTTTCTTGCTCAGGGGTGTCACTGTGTTGCCCATCTAGAGCTGCATCGCATTGCCATGGCACCTGTAGGGAGTCACCTGAGGCAGAACTCGGTCACCCAGCAACCTATTCCGTGGCACTGGGCATGCAGCCTACACCGTGGCACTGGGAATGCTGCGGTGCCTGGTGATGCTGCCACCCAGCCTGACAGCACAGCAGGGAGTAGCAGCCCCCTGGGCCAAACCCTACACCCAGGCAGCTAAGGGTGAGTACATACTTTAACTGGGAGGAGGACAAAAAAAGCAGGTGTTTCTCCTAACCCCCACCCCCAGTATCTTCTATATAATGCAAAAGTACCCAGACTAGGCAGTTGGGGGCTCCCATTGTGTGTCTGTGTTCAGGGGTGCCAGAAAATGTCACCCTGGGATGGCTTATCCCAAGAGGCACACAGGGGCATTTATTTCAGCTGGAAATAAAGGGAAATGTCACCCTGGTACATTCCCAAGGGTTTTCCCTCCCTTTCTTAAATGTGGTCTGACAGCATCTGAAAGGGAATAATTTATTTGCAGGGGTGGGAGCCAGGAAAGCCATCTCCCCCGCTCTGAATGCTGTTTCTCAGGTATAAATAAGTGGCGCGGAGCTGGGGAAAGTGCAGTCGTTCATCCCCAGCTGGGACAGAAGGGCTGAAGCGACTGGTTTGTGGGAACCGGCATGCAGAGTGGTTTTTGTTGGACCTGAGCACAGACATTTTGTCCTCGGTGCTGCCAAACTGGCTCGGAGGGTCGTGTTTGCGCAAGTTCTTTTGCTAAATTTGAGGGTGTGAGTTTCCTGCTGCCTGTCCTGCAGCCTCTTGGGCCAGGCTGGATCCAGGGCAAGACTCAGTGCCCACAGCTGTGCCACTCCAGTCAGGTACTGGGGCAGCCTGTGCCAGTACCGCCAAAATTGGGCAAGGCTTGAAAATGCAGTCCTCAAAGTTCAATGATTTCTCAGCCGCGGGCTGTGCACTTTTCCCCTCTGCCTCCTCCCTATTTTACTCCCTTTTACCCTAGCTAAAGGACCTGTTATTATCCTCTATTTGCTGTTCATTGATTTAATAGCTGCATTTTGAGACACTGTTCATCTAAATGTATTTAGTGAATTTAGTGAATGCAATGCCATTACAGACACTGGTTATGCAAAAAGTCTTTTAGGTCATTAACTATAGCTGGATGTTGGAAAACCTGTGGTTTAATGAGTTATGTTGTCTGCTCATCACCTGGTGTAAACGGGCAGGGCCCAAGGTGGCCCAGGAGGAGCAATTAAACCTCTAGTCATGAGCTTGCTTGGGTGAATGCTTCGTTCTAGAATAAAAGCCAGTTTACTTCATGCAGACATCCAATTTTTAAAGGAATAAAGTTGATTTCATACTGTAACAAATGGGATTCAGCACATGCTTTGTGTCAAACCCCACTCCCATCCAGGGATTTTACTGTAGCTTTGTACCAAGTACAACATACCCTCCTCAGTGTCATCAGATCAGGTGTGTTAGGTACTTTTGGTGGCCCTCTTCATTATATTTCTGATAACAATTGACTGATAACCTCTGTCTGCAAAGAGCGATAGCACCCGCAGTGCTGTATGTAGTTTTCGGCTGTGAAATCTTCCTGTGTGGCCATTCCTCCTAGGGTTACTGCAAGGCTGGTGCTTAAAAACCACTCTGAAAAGATTCTGTGGTATATCTCCTTTCCAAGCACATTTATTTTACATCGGGAGAGCCATAGAGGCTGAAATGGGAGGGTGTGAATGTTTCAAATGTAGATATAGTCTTGCTCTCCAGCAGACTCCTCACTTGAGCATATATTGTAGGTGAAGATAGAGGTGATGAGGATGAAGTCCGTCACCCACAGATCGCGCTGGGTTGGTGGCAGCTGTGTGTCCAAAGCTATCAGGGCTGGTAGTGGAACTTTTAAAGAGAAAATTACATCTGGTGTAGTATAAGCTCAGCAGATACGCCGGCCAAGAGAAACAAATGAACAGCAAAGAATGAGCAACTACAGTTTCACTGGATTGACAGATTTAAGGAGAATGAAGGCATAATATCTGTCATTCTCCTTAGCACCCATGATTTGTTTTTCTCCTCATTTCAAGACATGACGCTAGATACTAGTAACAAAGTCAAATCCTTATATATACAAATGCTTGGGATGCTGTCAGAAGGGGTTTGCTTTCAAGGGTTTTAAGCCTGTATGGATGCTATATGCATCAGTGTTTGTGTTATGTGTTGCATGTGGTGGTGTAAGAAGTTGCATGTGTTGTAAGTGCAAGATCTTAACTGAGTGCGGTTGTCTTCTTCTGTCTCCTCCTCTGTGCAGGACACGTACCTGAATAGCAGTGCTGAAAAATGGAGCTCGTCAGCTCTCCCTTAACGGCAATGTACACCCATCCAAGATCAACACCCTCCAAGTTTCTGCCTGCCATCAGCACCATGGCTTCGAGCTATAAGAACCGTTTTCCTTACTACCCCTTGCCTGAGAGCTTCAGCCTCCCCTGGATGCCCAATACTTACTATAAAACAGCTGCCATCAACCCAACTTTGCGTCCCCTTTCCACGCAGTCCCAGGGATTAACCTCAAGCAAGACGGTTCCTTTGGTTCCCAACAGAACAACCCTCTTCACCTGGTACACCACTGACGACTGGAACAGGTCCAACCTGACCAACTGCAAAGAGTTGGAGAGCTCCCGGCGCAACGCCGAGTGTCTGAGAACCGACAACTGCCACATGATTCAGGATACCTATCAGCAGGGAAGGAAAATCCAAGCACAAAGCACCAAAGACCTGGGAAAACGTGTTAATGACATTGAGTTTTGGAAAGCGGAACTCTGCCATGAGCTGGATGCAATGATTGGGGAGACCAATGCACTCACAGATGTGAAGAAACGACTGGAGAGAACCTTGGCTGAGACGGAGGCCCCTCTCCAGGTAAGTGACCTGTCCAGGGGGCTGTAAGCTGTGGCCTACAGCTGAAACATCTGCAGCCATTCAAACACCTAATTAAGTTTCATTGCAGCCCTGTAATGTCTAGAAAGCTTTAATTAAGAGACCATTAGTTAAGTTAGTGATAAACAAATCCCTTGCCATCTGCTGCAGCCCCCATCAGCACATGCTGAGCACATCAGAACAGTATTTGCTTAACCAAATATTTTGATAAGCAGTATTTCCAAAATCCTGGTTTGGGAGACAAAAGCCCACGTCTTACTGCGAGGCCCTGGTGAGCTCAGCATCAAGGCTGACACAGGTCCTCACATTCAGCTGCGGTAGTACCAGGAACATGTGTGCTCCCTCAAGTTGATTTAATGCCGATGTTGCAGCTCACCTGCTTGTTGTCAGCTAAACCAGCTGCCCTGGGCACTTTTTTCCGCTTCTGTCAACTCTGTGCCCACCTACAATTTATTTTCTTAAATTACTTGAGATGGAGACCATCTCTGTAGGCACCCCAGGCCCTGCAGCCAGCAGCAATGGCTTGTCCCCAACAGGTTGCGCAGGAGTGCTTGCTTCACCGGGAGAAGAGGATGGGCATTGACCTGGTCCATGATGACGTGGAGAAACAGCTCTTCACTGTAAGTTTGGCAACTCAGGTCATGTGTTAAAGCTATTTTTACCTAAACTGCCCCAAATGGGTTTTGCAGCCTTGTTCCCTAACTGGCTCCTTCATACTAGTGAGGTGCTAAACTCTTCAAACCCCCGAAACCTGCAAGGCCAGGGGACGGCATTGCCCCTGCAACAGCATGCCGATGCTGTGTGGGTAAGACTTGCCCTTACAGATGGAGGAATAGCCAAAAATCAGCTGTCTGTGTAACGTATCAGGGGCCTCTGTCCCTCTTCAAGCAGTTTGTGAGACTGTGCTGCCTTTCAGAGCCCCGTTGGAACAGTATCTATACGTATCTGTACCACACACGTATGTGTAGCTATATAACATACGTATAGCTATATATATATCACAGATATGGAGAAGGCAGCATGTGCCCGACAGCTTGTCTGGTTTCCCCAACTATATTAGTTGGTCTAATAAAAGATATTACATCTCCCCCCAGCTTTGCTTTGCTCAGAGCAGTGTGGCCGCAGCAGAACTGCTGCTGTGCGCGCTCCGGCAATGCATTTTATAGAAATCATAAAAACGTGCACTCCTGCCTGCCTTTGTATAGTCTGCTTTAAATAATGAATTAAAAGCAAACATGACAGAGTTGGCACAGGAGATGGGATCCTAATGCAGGGTACAGTGAAATACAATCGCTGCAAAGGCATCGCGAAACTGGGAAGGAAATTGCAGCCCCTGGGACTGTGAAACCGCTGCTCTGTTAGAAGATTTTTTCTTATGAGTCAGACCCTAAAAAATTAAAAGATTAGTTTAAAGGTCATGAGATTTTAGAAAAATCATCAGAGCTGGTATCTCCATAATGGCATTTTGGATTTTAAGTGTCTGGGACACATTTAGACCATGCTTTTCATGTTGAAGCCCAGAGAGCTGAGAGCAACACGCGCCTTCCTCTGATGGAGCTGAATGTTAGAAATGACTGGGGATTTACACCAAAGCAAAGCCTGTTTCCTCTTATCCCATATGTATGGGATTTCTCCTGGGGAACAGAAACATTCTGAGAGCCAAAAGGGCAGATGCTGGTTGGGGATGGGGATGTGTAGCACTGCAGGGCAGAAGGACAAGCGGGCAAGTTCCTGCTGTGCATGGGGCTGGAGAGGTTTGAGGGGATGCGAATGACCATGACAACTGAGTATGGACACTGATGGGGCCGTGCTTTGCCTTTGCCCAGGAAATGGATGTCATCAGGTCCTGCCAGGAGAGGATGCAGTCACACCTGGAGAAGGCGAAAGCCCAGCTAGTGTAAGGAGCCCCTTACCTCATGCTGCAGGGCTGACGTGCATCTGCAGTTGTAGTGTGACCCCCCCAGCACACCCCTACCTCTACCCACACCCCACAGGGGTAAAACCTGTGCATGCTCCATGGATAGCAGGCAGTGATGCTCGTGGGAGCACGCAGCTGCGCAAGAGGGAGATGTGGGGAAGAGGGATGTTGGGGAGGAAACTATTCCACCCGCACATCCCAGTGACGGCTGCTGGTTGTGTGCTGCAGGTCCAGCAGGGCAGCCCAGCACGAGCTAGAGAAGGACCTAGCTGATGAGCAGATGGCCCACCGCATTGATGACAAGTGCCACCACCTGAGGAACACCTCCGATGGCATCAGCTACTACCGAGGGGTGGAGCGGGTCGACGCCACGTGAGTGCACATCGGGGATGAGCCACCCCTGGGATGCAGGGTACCTGTCCCTGGCAGGGGGGGGTTGTCCCCACCCACAGTATAGACACGTGCCACTGATGGTACATCCATCCTGCCTGGGGACACCTGCCTTGGAGGGCTGTTTGTCTCTGCTCACCGTAATGGGAGCACAGCCCTCTGGATGCTGAACTTCTAGAGGGTGAAAGCGAGTCCCACTTAACTAAACATTATATATGGTTTCAGAGATCAGCCCGAAAATGAATTCAGTTCAGCACCTCTGCACAGCTCGTTAAGTTTATGCATATTTTCAGAGATGTGTCAGTGCACGCCTGGCTGCTCTTCATTGACGTAAAGTCTGGGGGGTTCACCCCTGCGTGGAGAGGTCCTGGCAGGGAGCCGAAGGGACACAGAAGATAAAGACATAGCGTGGTCCTAGGATGGAGTTCAGTTGCTTTTGGGTGCCAGGAATTCAGCTTTGGCTCTGCAGGAAATGAATGGTGACCTAAAGCAGCACTCGCAGAGATGTGCCCTAAGTGGCAAAGGGCTGAGGAAATAAATCTGGCTCATACAGTGTGTGCAGTTTATGGGGAGGCATAGATTGAGTCACTTTTTTAAATGTTTGAACTGTTATTCACAGTAGAGCTCAGAGATATTTAGACAGGCAAACAAGTTGCAAAGGATTGATGCTAAAATTCAGAGAGGGGGTAAAATGTGCCAAGGATCAGCATGTTTTAAACGGAGCTTATGTGGTATTTAAGTCTTTTGTTGACCTTTTTCTGGACTAGTGCACAGGCGTGGACTTCATCCTGACTGCACAGACAGGGAATTGAATATTATCTAATGCTTGTTCAGTTGAGTATGAAACTGAGATAAGTGATGAGCAAAATGAATTGACTGCAATCTGCCCGTTGTTGTGAGGCTGTGAATCACTTGGCATTTCAATGCCTCGAACACATAAATATGAGCTCTGATTAAAATCTCTATTTTTCTGAGGAAATCTTTGGTTTGTTTGTGCTTTCCTAAGTATCACAGTTGTCTTCATGAACATGTCATCATTTGATAAGGATTATTGAGCAAATGATATCCAGATGTTTTGCTTTCATGTAGTCAAATTCAGAGCGTAGATTTAACCTACACTGAATCCACACTGCTCCCTGGCAGGGTCTGTGCCTGCCCGTGTCCAGCTCCAGCAGCCTCAGCTCACTAGGGGTCTCTCTTTCCTCCCTGCAGGATCTCAGTGCCAGTCATGGGCCAAGTTCACAGATGGCAACATCCTTTCCTCCCAGAGTGAACGGGCGGCCTCGGCCAAGGAGCAGAACAACATCGAAAACCTGCTGGTGGTGACAGCCAACGAGATGTGGCACCAGTTCAACAAGGTCAACGTCGCCTTCATCAACCGCATCGCCGAGGCAGATGACACCAAGAACAAGATCCAGACCCACCTGGCCAAGGTAGACTGCACTCCTCCCTTTTGGGGTGACACCTCCCAAGCAGGGCCCTCAAAGGTCTTATGGAAAGCTTCCTGAAAAGTGCTCAACACAACACTGATTAACAGAGCGGAGATTGGGCTTGCAGTGCTGTGGGCTAAGACCACCGTCTTAAACAAGGATCCATTTAAAACCTCTCTGTTAGTTGCTATTGATGGATGATCAGTTCCTGCAGGCAGTGATTTTGGGAAGGTGGTAATTCAATAGATCCATCACTGCTCCAAAACCTCCTCTGATGTGACAGCAATGGCAAAGAGAGGCCTTCCCTGCAGAGAAATCACTGCTGGATCTGTGCCTCGATACGTGGCGGTGTGACAGCGGTCTGAGCCCAGGCTCTGCGTGTTGAACTTGTTTTGTTCTGCAGACAGGCAGGAGAAAAGGGTAATGATGTGATCACTTGAGAATATATTTTTAAATTTTTGCATGTGTTTCTTTTTCATGCCAGACACTGCAGGAAATCTTCCAGATCGAGATGAACATAGCAGCCATCCAAAATGCCATTAGGGACAAAGAGGTTCTGTTAAAAGGGCTCAGACCCGGCTGGATGAGCGCACGCGGAGACCAAACATGGAGCTGTGCCGGGACACTGTCCAGCTCCAGTATGGCTGGGCTGGTGGGGTCCTTGAGGAGTCACTGGTGGTAGCACTCACAGCATCACCTGATGACAAAATTAATCATGTTTATTTTTCTAAATAGTCCTTCCAGAGATGCGCTGATATAATCAAAAGCAATGAGTGTGTACCCCAGCCTTCGGGTGCTGGGAGAGCTCTGCACCCATGGGAGAGGCTGTACACAGTCATGGGTACAGATCCTAGAAGCATGGAATTGTTTAGGTCAGAAAAGACCTTTAAGATCAAGAATTTAACCATTAACCTAACACTGCCAAGTCAACCACTGAACCAAGTCCCTAAGTGTCACACCTGATGCCACCCTGCAAGAGGGAGGATTTACCTGCTTGGGTAAGGATTTACCTGCCTGCATCCCAATGGTTGGATATGCCCAATTTTGAAGGAACAGTCCTTTGCTCACATGGAGAGCGATGAGCTCCTTCCTTTTGGGTAACTGCAAGACAGGGTGCACCATATGGAGAAGTAGTAAGGGCTGTCCTCCTCTCTGGGGACACTGAGAGCCCTTTCAAGGACACAGCGAGGCTCCCCAGACCTCACCCCTCCTCCTGGTAGCTCTCTGGGCATGACTCCATGTGAAGCCTTTTAAAAGCAATTTAAACCCAGCCCCACAGCCTGTTTAGCATCTCTCACGCTGTTGTTTTTTCCATCCTTCTCTCATTTCCCATTCACTTCCAGTCTCTTCCAGTTGTCCCATTTTGTTGCATGTGCACCCATGGGTGTGGGGATGACCTGGGCAAAGGGAATTCCAGGGGGATGAACCAATAAACACACAAAACCAGACAGGAACAGAAAATCATGGCTGCTCATCCCTCTTCTCAGTGGCACAAGCTGCTCTGGGAGAGACGGCTTTGCCGAAGCCTCAGAGTGGACCTAACCCTGTCTCCCTGCTGGGGTCTGGAGGGGCTCTGTCCTCAGCTTCCCCATACATTGGGGTCCAAATTAGTCTGGGAACATTGAAGGGACAAATCCCGCACCCAAGGAACCTGTCAGCAATGCTCTGCTAGAAATCACCCCCATGACGGGCCTGTTAACAGGGGTTTCTTGCTGTTTTGCAGCCTTGTCAATGAGGTCCACCAAATCCAGGAGATGCTCCAGAGCCTGTATGAGCGGCTGAGGGATGCCAAGGACACCCTGCAAACGCTGGTTGGTGCCAAGGCGGTCCTGGAGCACGACCTGGCGGTCAAAGCCAACTCGCTCTTCATCGACCAGGAGAAGTGCATGGGGATGCGCAAGAACTTCCCCAGCACCGTGCGCCTGTTGGGCTACGTTTAGGCTGGGCTCAGCTCAGCTCAGGGTGTCTGCTGCAGGAGGCATTCACAGTTTTGCTAAAGATGCTTTGAAAATACACAATTAGGCTTTCACTTCCTGAGGAAAGCCCTGAGCCAAAATAAAATGATTATTTTCTGTGTTAACATGGTCTACCAGGATCTTTTTTTCTTGGGTTTTTTTTTCTGTGTGCTTTGTTTGTTTGCTTGTTTGTTTGTTTTTCTCTTTCCACTGCTTTTTCACGGCATGCCAGAAAGTAGCTGAAAATATCCTCTATGCGACTAAGAGTAAATCCACCTACGGGGATTCATTCCTACCCTTTCAGTCTGTGATTTTAGGAAAAAAACCGTTGTGTTTTCCTCCTTTTGAGTCTGTCTGATATGGAAAAAGCACAAGGGGAAGTGAAGTTAGTTTTCACAGTAACTAGCTGTTGACATCCATAATGTATTTTTATTGGTGCAGCAGAAGAAACACAAACTATCCCTTAAAATGTTGCAATATGTTCTGTTCCTAAATAGAAAAACTTGCATTTTAAGCTGATTTCTAATGATAAATTTTCTTGCTTTTGAAAAATTTTAAATGTCATCTAAAATGTCAGTGCTGGAGTCTTCAAATGAGGAAGTGCTTTTGACTAGCTAATTGAAGAAAATGCTGTGGTTTTAATTTTAGTGAGTATGGATTGGTTCCTAATTTAACTTCTTGCATGTAGTATGTTGGTGAAAGCACCAAAGCACTTTGAAGATGAAGAAAGATGAATCTGTCCTTAAGTCAGCCCCCCCTGCTGCCATGGTGCCTGCTCTCTTGCTGTAAATCAGACCTATTTTACCAAGGATTTGGATTTTCAGAGGGGTAAGTCTTTAATCAGTGTCAAAGTCACTTTGCAAATTGTCTCCTTAGGCTCACGTGTCATGTAGACACTCTTGAATCTGCCAACATAAGCAGAGTTGAGCTCAGCCTAAAGCCTGCAGGCACCAGCAATCCCGAAGGAGCAGAAGCTCAAGTCCCTTCTCCTCCCTTGGGTCCCCAGGGATAGACCTCCTGCCCCAGTGTGGGGGCTCGGGGCAGCTGGGAGCATCTCAGCATCCCCTGGTGACTCTGTCTCACAGCACACGTCTGAACAGACCTGCCTGCCCTCCCCGCTCACCCAGGGCAGCCCTGAGAGCCGAAATCTGCACCGAGGTCCTGCGCCGGCCTCAGCATCCCGCCAGGGGCTCTCTTCACAGCAGCAGCCCTAAACGGGAAGCAATTTTTTTACTATTTTTTTTTTTACTAGCACTTTTGTCTCACAGAGACTAAAAATAGGTTTCCTCTTGTGTATCTTGGAACCAGAGTCCTTCAAAGACAGCAGCCACCCTTTCTAAAGGGAAGATACAGGAAAAACTGCCCAGCTCATCCCACCTTCCCTTTCTCCCTTTATCTCCCTTCCCAGAATAAGCCGGTGGGTTATGGCTGAACTCATGGAGTCTTCCAGTTTTTGTTTGCATCCTCGCCAGCCTTCGTGTTGCTTTGTGCTGTTCCTCTCCCTGTGTCCCTTCACTGAAGACTTTCGCAAACCTCAATGATTTTGGCTGTTCTGCTGATTTGAAGCCCCACTCCAGATGGCAGGTTTTCAGGTAGAGCCGCCTCTTTTCTTTTGTGAGAAATGGGCCCCATGGATTTGTCCCCAGATGAGCACAGAGAAGCACCCGCAGTCCCTTGCTGAGAGGCTCATGATTTTAAGTAACTTGAGCAAAGGCCTGGCATCAGTAACAGCTTCACACTCATTTCACTTCCACCTTCATTTTTGCATCACATAACAAAATATTTGAGCTCCACTTTACCATAAGGGCACACTGATAACAGTCAGCACCTAAAGTTTCCTATTTTCTCCGATTTTGCTTTTAGAGCACCCCAAACACCTGTCTTTCCCACTAGCCCAACTCCTTCAAGGCTTTCTCGTAATTGGTAGAGTTTATGTGGTGTCACAATTCTCCAACTCTAAATTTTATTATGCTGCCCTACCCTCTCCATGCTTCCTTGCACAATATTGGCAATGCATTTCTTTCCTCCATTTGAGCTGTGACCAGAGGAATTTCAGTTGCCGCTTCTCTCGTTTCTTTTGCAAATACTTTCTGCTTTCCAGCAGCAGATTTCCCAGACATTAGAGAATTCCCAGGTCCCTTTGGGGTTTCAGTCTCTCCACACCAGTTTTCCATAAGCCGACAATGTTGATGTTACTTTGTCTGGTAGCTGATACTTGAAAATCTCCCCCCAAGCACTTTGATCATCTAATCCTATGTGTGCTTCAGTCTGAGTCTTTTTTTCCTCTCTCACAGCATGTCCTATGCACATCCCATGACAGGAGCCAACCCTGCCACAAAACTCCTGTAAAATGGGTGAAATCCCAATGGACATGTGGCTTTGACAGTGTCTCTGAACGAGGGATGGACTTGTCTCCCACGACTGAGCTGCGGGTGAGTGAAGCTGCTTGGTTTGATCACTGCAGGGCTGGTTTAGGGGCTGCAGCTGAGCATCCTCTATTTTTGACATATAACACATGCATGAAACAACTGTCCTGCTTTCCCGCTTCTGATGCATGAGATGTCTTTGCTTTTCTACCATTAAATGATTTTCTTTCACAAATTGCTCTTAGTGTCATTGACTACCTCAGCTGCCTTTACACACTGATGTAGTGTTTCCTTTCTTTAAACTCCCTCAGTCTGAAGACTGACGCGCCTGCTTTTATTGCTCTTTATTGCTGGCTTTATCAGCCAAGTTGCTGAGAACGTTAGTTAGTGGAAATTCCTTTGCATCCCACAGCCATATTCCCACTATCCTGCATCACTGTGATAAACCCAGCAGAGCCAGGTTTGTAAACTGATTGCTTACGGACTGGAGGAAAGACAATAAATTAATAAAACCAGGACAGCATTGCTTCATGCACGCTAAGCTTTGCATCAGCCCAGGATCCAGTCGAACAGTCAGGGTTCAACTATCTCTGAAGTCTATCAAGAAGTTATTCAGAAAGGAGGCTTTGGTTTTCGTTACCTAAAAAAAGGAACATCAGTGAATGTCCTGAAGGAGTCTGATATGAATTTGGGTGAAATCAAAGCTTGCCAAAAACCATGTTAACAGTATATTGCATAACTAGAGCAGATTATTATGCTCGAGGGAGAGAGAATTCCCCAAACGGCATCAGCAGTCAGAAAAAAAACAAAACAAACAAATTCATTGCTATTATGAAAAAAAAAAGAGAGAGAGAGAGAACTTTGGCAAAATGCTAAGGAAAACTTGGGCAGTATGAGAGCATAGGAATGGCTGTGCTGGCTCAGACCAAAGCCCAGTGAGCTCCACATTCAGCCTCTGGCAGAGCCACCAGGAGCTGCTGAGATAAAAGCACCAGCACAAGGCAAGCCCCCTGCGATACTTTCCCAGTCTACTTTCCCAGCTTCCAGCAATTAGTATCTCAAGAACTTCCTGAGCTGATGGGGCAGTCCTTGAATTTAATAACCCCCAGTGGATTTGTTTTGCATGCTCTTGTTCCTGTTGTTCCCCAAGCCTGTGCAGCCTCGCAGCATCCGCTGTGTCCCTCAGAAAGGAAGTGCAGAGGCCCAAACACCGTCATACTCAGAGCATTGGCAGCCACGCTCGGGACCCTGCAGGATACTGAAGAAGGGGCCAGACCTGGGACTACTGAAGCCAAAAGACTGAAACTTGGGCAAAAATGTAGCTCGAAGCTGGTTCAGATCTGTATCTTCTCTAGGTTCAACACAAGAGCTTGCAGAGTGTTGGCTCCTTTCATGTGCTGTCAGCGTGTGGGAGGCGAGCAGGTATCTTAACTTCTGAAAGTATCTGAGCATGTCCTGACACACAGTCATGTCCCCACTGGGAACCATGGGTGGGTTTTTTTGGCTTTCGGCATCAGTGAGTAACTTTCATTGGGTATCTGGTTATCAGTGGGTAACTGGTTTCATTGAAGCCAGTGGGATTTTCTCCAGTGATTTCAGCTTGAGTCTATCAGTGATGACAACTGACTTGGAGTTGAAAGTGAAAAGTTGGACGAAGTTGGGTTTTGGGCATGAATGTAGACAGGACTAAAATATTTTATAAATACTTCTTGGTTTGGAGGAAAACAAATGTCAGGAAAAGTATGTCAATGTCTCCCAGATCCATTAGACCTCTTGTTTTAGAAGTTTGCTCAATTTAAATGTCTTCCCTACCATTTTTTTTTCTGCTTGAAATGGCTTTTCAAATAGCTACTCCACCAGTTTTATCAGAAAAGGTAAAAGCATTCTCTCCCAGTGCTTTTTGATCCAAACAGGGTTTTACACCAGAGAAAAGACCTGCTCCTCTCACAGCTCTGCTGTGGGGTAGCTCAATAGCCTGCAGCAGCACCTCTGCCTGTGGCACAGCGCCTGCCTGGCTGAGACCCAGCAGCACTCAGTGCACATCCCTCTGCATGCCAGGGAAAGGGCAGGGACCTGGCAGCGCTCTGAGCCCCTGCTCTTGCTGCCAGCTGAGGATGTGCTCTCAAGGTGCAGCTTCCCCCAGCCCTTCAGCTGGAAATTCTCATTTAGATAGTTATTTCTTTCCATGTATATGTATTTTTATGTATATATGCATGTGCATTGTTTGTGGGGGCACTACTATGGGGGTTCTCCATAAAATGTGAGTCAATCCATAGAACAGGAAATGAGTGCCTAAATCGTGAGCACAGAGCAAAGTCTTGAGGTTAAACAAACTCATCCACAAGAAGACAGAGAGATAAAATCTTGTCTTATTGTGTAGTTTGAAAATGCTTGTTTAAAGAGTGGCTTCATTCACTTGGCCTGGGGAAGGGGATGGTGTATGTGTTCACTGGACCAATGGTGGCAGACCCCCTGGTGTGCTGGTTCAGGTGATGCCACAGAGTTAAATGAGGCTTAGAGCCTTTTCAGCAAAGTTCTCAGTCTGTCACTACCTTGTCAGATTAGCATCTGAGCCCCTTGAAGTCATAGAAGACTTTCCCTCCTAAATTCTCATTATTTTATTCTAGAAATTCAAGCTGAA